TGTTTACACTATGAAAGTGTCTGTGATTGGCTTTAGTATCCATGGATACCTTCTGCATATCTTTTGTACAATCCTTCTGTTATCTTTTGTAAGACATTGCCACAATAAGTTATGTACACTTGATTTTGTGTGGCTAAGATGTATTGTCATGATAAATCAGTTTAGGTTTGGTTACTATGGCTGTGATATCTACCTGATTCCTGAGACTATATGTTTGGTTACTATGGCTGTGTCTACCTGATTCCTAAGACTATATGTTTGGTTACTATGGCTGTGATTTCTACCTGATTCCTAAGACTATATGTTTGGTTACTATGGCTGTCTACCTGATTCCTAAGACTATATGTTTGGTTACTATGGCTGTGATATCTACCTGATTCCTAAGACTATATGTTTGGTTACTATGGCTGTGATATCTACCTGATTCCTAAGACTATATGTTTGGTTACTATGGCTGTGATGTCTACCTGATTCCTAAGACTATATGTTTGGTTACTATGGCTGTCTACCTGATTCCTAAGACTATATGTTTGGTTACTATGGCTGTCTACCTGATTCCTAAGACTATATGTTTGGTTACTATGGCTGTGATATCTACCTGATTCCTAAGACTATATGTTTGGTTACTATGGCTGTCTACCTGATTCCTAAGACTATATGTTTGGTTACTATGGCTGTGATATCTACCTGATTCCTAAGACTATATGTTTGGTTACTATGGCTGTGATATCTACCTGATTCCTAAGACTATATGTTTGGTTACTATGGCTGTCTACCTGATTCCTAAGACTATATGTTTGGTTACTATGGCTGTGATCTCTACCTGATTCCTAAGACTATATGTTTGGTTACTATGGCTGTGATATCTACCTGATTCCTAAGACTATATGTTTGGTTTGGTTACTATGGCTGTCTACCTGATTCCTAAGACTATATGTTTGGTTACTATGGCTGGTTACTATGGATGTCTACCTGATTCCTAAGACTATATGTTTGGTTACTATGGCTGTCTACCTGATTCCTAAGACTATATGTTTGGTTACTATGGCTGTGATATCTACCTGATTCCTAAGACTATATGTTTGGTTACTATGGCTGTGATATCTACCTGATTCCTAAGACTATATGTTTGGTTACTATGGCTGTCTACCTGATTCCTAAGACTATATGTTTGGTTACTATGGCTGTGATATCTACCTGATTCCTAAGACTATATGTTTGGTTACTATGGCTGTGATATCTACCTGATTCCTAAGACTATATGTTTGGTTACTATGGCTGTCTACCTGATTCCTAAGACTATATGTTTGTTACTATGGCTGTTACTATATCTACCTGATTCCTAAGACTATATGTTTGGTTACTATGGCTGTGATGTCTACCTGATTCCTAAGACTATATGTTTGGTTACTATGGCTGTGATATCTACCTGATTCCTAAGACTATATGTTTGGTTACTATGGCTGTCTACCTGATTCCTAAGACTATATGTTTGGTTACTATGGCTGTGATATCTACCTGATTCCTAAGACTAAGACTATATGTTTGGTTACTATGGCTGTCTACCTGATTCCTAAGACTATATGTTTGGTTACTTTTGCTGTCTACCTGATTCCTAAGACTATATGTTTGGTTACTATGGCTGTCTACCTGATTCCTAAGACTATATGTTTGGTTACTATGGCTGTCTACCTGATTCCTAAGACTATATGTTTGGTTACTATGGCTGTCTACCTGATTCCTAAGACTATATGTTTGGTTACTATGGCTGTCTACCTGATTCCTAAGACTATATGTTTGGTTACTATGGCTGTCTACCTGATTCCTAAGACTATATGTTTGGTTACTATGGCTGTCTACCTGATTCCTAAGACTATATGTTTGGTTACTATGGCTGTGATATCTACCTGATTCCTAAGACTATATGTTTGGTTACTATGGCTGTCTACCTGATTCCTAAGACTATATGTTTGGTTACTATGGCTGTCTACCTGATTCCTAAGACTATATGTTTGGTTACTATGGCTGTCTACCTGATTCCTAAGACTATATGTTTGGTTACTATGGCTGTCTACCTGATTCCTAAGACTATATGTTTGGTTACTATGGCTGTGATATCTACCTGATTCCTAAGACTATATGTTTGGTTACTATGGACTATATGTTTGGTTACTATGGCTGTCTACCTGATTCCTAAGACTATATGTTTGGTTACTATGGCTGTCTACCTGATTCCTAAGACTATATGTTTGGTTACTATGGCTATATGTTTGTCTATCTGATTCCTAAGACTATATGTTTGGTTACTATGGCTATATGTTTGGTTACTATGGCTGTCTACCTGATTCCTAAGACTATATGTTTGGTTACTATGGCTGTGATATCTCTGATTCCCTATATGTTTGGATTCCTAAGACTATATGTTTGGTTACTATGGCTGTGATATCTACCTGATTCCTAAGACTATATGTTTGGTTACTATGGCTGTCTACCTGATTCCTAAGACTATATGTTTGGTTACTATGGCTGTCTACCTGATTCCTAAGACTATATGTTTGGTTACTATGGCTGTCTACCTGATTCCTAAGACTATATGTTTGGTTACTATGGTTGTGATATCTACCTGATTCCTAAGACTATATGTTTGGTTACTATGGCTGTCTACCTGATTCCTGAGACTATATGTTTGGTTACTATGGCTGTCTACCTGATTCCTAAGACTATATGTTTGGTTACTATGGCTGTCTACCTGATTCCTAAGACTATATGTTTGGTTACTATGGCTGTGATGTCTACCTGATTCCTAAGACTATATGTTTGGTTACTATGGCTGTCTACCTGATTCCTAAGACTATATGTTTGGTTACTATGGCTGTCTACCTGATTCCTAAGACTATATGTTTGGTTACTATGGCTGTCTACCTGATTCCTAAGACTATATGTTTGGTTACTATGGCTGTCTACCTGATTCCTAAGACTATATGTTTGGTTACTATGGCTGTGATATCTACCTGATTCCTAAGACTATATGTTTGGTTACTATGGCTGTGATATCTACCTGATTCCTAAGACTATATGTTTGGTTACTATGGCTGTCTACCTGATTCCTAAGACTATATGTTTGGTTACTATGGCTGTGATGTCTACCTGATTCCTAAGACTATATGTTTGGTTACTATGGCTGTCTACCTGATTCCTAAGACTATATGTTTGGTTACTATGGCTGTGATATCTACCTGATTCCTAAGACTATATGTTTGGTTACTATGGCTGTCTACCTGTTCTAGACTATATGTTTGGTTACTATGGCTGTCTACCTGATTCCTAAGACTATATGTTTGGTTACTATGGCTGTGATATCTACCTGATTCCTAAGACTATATGTTTGGTTACTATGGCTGTCTACCTGATTCCTAAGACTATATGTTTGGTTACTATGGCTGTGATATCTACCTGATTCCTAAGACTATATGTTTGGTTACTATGGCTGTGATATCTACCTGATTCCTAAGACTATATGTTTGGTTACTATGGCTGTGATATCTACCTGATTCCTAAGACTATATGTTTGGTTACTATGGCTGTGATGTCTACCTGATTCCTAAGACTATATGTTTGGTTACTATGGCTGTGATATCTACCTGATTCCTAAGACTATATGTTTGGTTACTATGGCTGTGATATCTACCTGATTCCTAAGACTATATGTTTGGTTTGGTTACTGATTCCTAAGACTATATGTTTGGTCTACCTGATTCCTAAGACTATATGTTTGGTTACTGTTTGTTACTATGGCTGTGATATCTACCTGATTCCTAAGACTATATGTTTGGTTACTATGGCTGTGACCTGATCTATCCTGAAGACTATATGTTTGGTTACTATTGCTGTCTACCTGATTCCTAAGACTATATGTTTGGTTACTATGGCTGTCTACCTGATTCCTAAGACTATATGTTTGGTTACTATGGCTGATATCTACCTGATTCCTAAGACTATATGTTTGGTTACTACCTGATATCTACCTGATTCCTAAGACTATATGTTTGGTTACTATGCTGTCTACCTGATTCCTAAGACTATATGTTTGGTTACTATGGCTGTCTACCTGATTCCTAAGACTATATGTTTGGTTACTATGGCTGTCTACCTGATTCCTAAGACTATATGTTTGGTTACTATGGCTGTGATATCTACCTGATTCCTGAGACTATATGTTTGGTTACTATGGCTGTCTACCTGATTCCTAAGACTATATGTTTGGTTACTATGGCTGTCTACCTGATTCCTAAGACTATATGTTTACCTGATTCCTAAGACTATATGTTTGGTTACTATGGCTGTCTACCTGATTCCTAAGACTATATGTTTGGTTACTATGGCTGTCTACCTGATTCCTAAGACTATATGTTTGGTTACTATGGCTGTGATGTCTACCTGATTCCTAAGACTATATGTTTGGTTATTTAACAGGGGTTGAATCACAGCAACGAGTACCCAACCCAACAACATTTCCATCAGCCTCATTACCGCCTATAAGTCCAGTCATGGTTACAGCACCGCTAACCCTGACTGTTATTCCGAACCTAGCCTCAGTGCAGCGCTACCTCCCTGCAACCCAGAAACGTACAATTCGAGATGTCAAATTTGTCAAAGGTAAGGTTCACAGAATCAGAAAATTAGTTTTTCTCTTTGTGAATGTGAAACATCTTGTGTGAAAGTTTTAATTGGTTTCATTTGTATAAGATATTATAAAACTGATGTGGACTTCGATACAAGAAAAAACGAGGTGATCTACATTTTGATTTAATTCTCTTCCTGTTAATTTTCATCAGCTTTTGTTTACATTTATTTATTAGCCAATATAAAAGTACCATCAAAATTCTGATCTGATTGATAAAGATCTATTTAAATCAAGGGAATGGTTTCTCAATATCTTTTGAGTTGGTCATACATGATTTTGTCTGATTATAGATTGGCTCCAGTCTGTAAAACTGCCATCTAACCTGGAAGAGATGGACACAACTCAGCTAAACTCGATCATTGCACAGTTCTATCAGAACGGGCGTACGAAAGACAATAAAAAGTTCACGCGAAATACTCTTGTCTGTATACGAGCCAGTCTTAACCGCTATCTACACTCAGCATGTCCTCATCTGAAAGACATATCCATGATCAAAGATCCAAGTTTTATGTCATCAAATCGTGTCCTGGAGAAGCTGATGGAAGATGAAAGAGGCAGGGAAAAGGTCATCAAAAAGATTCCCCTGACTGAAGAGGATATTAAACAATTGGTGTCTTCTGATACACTGACTACAAATAACCCTGCAGGTCTCCAGAGAAAGGTTTGGACTGACTTGGTCCTTCATTTTGGAATAAAAGGTTCATTTGCTGCTGGTGCTATCACCAAAGACACATTCAAGAAGGAGGAGGATGGAAATGGCAAGGTCTACTACCATCTGAACATGGATCAGATCATTGCCAAGGTGGAGACGCATTCGGAGATGAAGGATTGGTATTGGTATTCTCGTATGTATGAGGTGAAGGACAGTCCACATTGTCCCGTGAAGAGTCTTGTGTTATATTTGTCAAAGTTAGATTCTGGACATCCTGAATTCTTCCAGAAACCTTTGGTGAACGAGAAGGGTGAATGTCGCGCACGCTTTTGGTACAGCGGAGGGCTGGGCTATAAAAATGCTGTCACAATGATGGCAGGAATCTCCAAGAAGGCTGCTTTGTCACGCGTGTACACAAACATCTGCATGCGGGCTACAGGGGAGGAAATGTTGAGTGAACTAGGTTTGAACATGGACATTAAAGTCCTGTCATACTCACGACCTGTACACCAAGACGATGCTGTTTTAGAAAAGCAAAGCACATGCCTACATAAGACGTTTTACAAGGATAGATACAGCCAGGGTGATGCCATCATCTGTCTGGATTAGATGTCAGACCCAGGAAAACCATGCGTTTTGTGTAGTACATGTACCTTTGTTGTTGTAAAATAAAATATTTACTGGCAATGGTCAGCTCATTGTTCCAATTCAAATTGTTATATTTGTTTAAAAATATGCCGTAAAATTTGCTATTTTGGATGGTTTAAATTGTCACAATTAATATTAAAAGCATAAAGCAAAAAGTGACTGTTTCTAATGAAGTCATAAAATCGACAAGGGATTTGTTTAACAACTTTATTTGAAACATATTGTTTTTTCTCTGCTTAAAATAAGCACCCTTAAGTATATGTATGGAACCATAATAAAGATTCTTTAAAAGGATATTTATTATAGGTGTCTGTATGTCATATATTTGAACTAAGGCTTACAAACATAATTACTAAATGGTGGTCCTTAGTGTCTCTCTGTTGGCTCTTCTATATTATTCAATATCTAGAATGGTTTGTTTAGAGCTATTAAGATTTCATTATCAAAATATATCAGAGGAAGTGCAAACAGAATGTTCACACCTTTGTTTTGGTGATACCTAATGGTTATTCAGTTCACACCTTTGTTTTGGTGATACCTAATGGTTATTCAATTCACACCTTTGTTTTGGTGATCTCTAATGGTTATTCAGTTCACACCTTTGTTTTGGTGATACCTAATGGTTATTCAGTTCACACCTTTTTTTTTGGTGATCTCTAATGGTTATTCAGTTCACACCTTTGTTTTGGTGATACCTAATGGTTATTCAGTTCACACTTTTGTTTTGGTGATCTCTAATGGTTATTCAATTCACACCTTTGTTTTGGTGATCCCTAATGGTTATTCAATTCACACTTTTGTTTTGGTGATCTCTAATGGTTATTCAGTTCACACCTTTGTTTTGGTGATACCTAATGGTTATTCAGTTCACACCTTTGTTTTGGTGATCTCTAATGGTTATTCAGTTCACACCTTTGTTTTGGTGATCTCTAATGGTTATTCAGTTCACACTTTTGTTTTGGTGATCTCAAATTGTTATTCAGTTCACACCTTTGTTTTGGTGATACCTAATGGTTATTCAGTTCACACCTTTGTTTTGGTGATACCTAATGGTTATTCAGTTCACACCTTTGTTTTGGTGATCTCTAATGGTTATTCAGTTCACACCTTTGTTTTGGTGATACCTAATGGTTATTCAGTTCACACCTTTGTTTTGGTGATCTCTAATGGTTATTTAGTTCACACCTTTGTTTTGGTGATCTCTAGTAGGTATGTGTTTTTTATTACATAATAATGGAACACTTGTACATGAAAAGATGTTGTTTTAAGCGCTGGAAGTTTACACATGTTGCTACATTTATTATGTTGTGTAATTAGTTAATGGTTTTAAGGTTCAGGTGTGTCCATCAGGTACTTCTCTGAAACGTGATTTAGGGTTTTCATTTCAGTTTTAAAATGTTTTTGATTATTTCTATTAGATCTTTTTAAGGATTGATCCCAGGTAGGGTGAATGAGGGATATACATATGTATATATACAATTTAATTTGTCTCATTTAAGTGAATAGATCCATCTTTAGTCTGAACACTTGATGAGACCAGTATAAAGTTGAAGGATCTATCTCTTACCTGCTGTATGTATTAATCTTGTGCCAAGGAAGAATCCAGAAGTATGGAAAATCCATTTTTATCTGTGTGTGTAAAGTACATGTCTAACCTACCAGATGAATAATCACAAGGGAAAGTGTCCAATCCAGAAACATCTCAAGCAGACATGGACAATGTGAAATTGAGTGTATAGAGTAAATTGAAAAGAAATAATTGAAATAAACAAAATGTTTAATAATTATCTCCCTTGAGGAGAACATCTCTTACAAATGTTTTCTGCCTTTTAAATGCTGAACAGTTCCTGTAAATATGTTTCTAGTAAAATATTGTGTTAAACAGAGATGGTTTTGTTGTTATTGTGGTTCTCAACATGGATTCTGATGAGCAGACAAATATGATAACAATGGCATCTCACTAGTGTAGTACATATGTACTGGGTAATGTATGACAATATGAATTCCGGATGTCCTTGCTGACAAATTTCAGAACAAATTGGATGTTTTTGGTTACTAGCTGTAAGTCATAGTGCCAGAAGATGAACAAAATGTTGATTAAGTACCAGTGGTGCTGTCTTCACAAAACACTTGTATAAAATACACATCAAATCACCTTTCTTTCTGTGGTTGTAACTGACTGTGGATTTCTAACGCTTTGGATTATCATTGTTTGTTGACCACATCATGGCGGTCATAGAAAATTGAAAGAAGTCTATCATAATTTTGGTCGGTATTCAATATTTTTTTTTGAAAGCCATATATGATTGGTTGTTTATGAGTTTAGTACAATCTTTATGTTGTATGTTTTAGTTTTAGGGGACTCTAAAGTGTTATGATAATCAAATAAGGTTGGTAACTGTAACATTTATGACAAGTTATATAGATCGAAGCCTTCTAAGTTAAAACGATCCTGACATGTAACTACTAAGGAAAGGAACATCAAAGATCACATATTTATATTTGACAAGCTTTTATGTTGTCATATTGTATTTTAGAAAGGGGAGTGTGGTATCATTTGTACAAATCAAGTTATGACACAAATCAAGGGATTTTTCATTTCACCAAGCTCTGGCAAGATCTTTGTATCACTTGAATAAGGGATAGCATGATTTTCACCGGGCAGAAAAGTGTTGGAGCAATGGCTATGTTTATAGCTGTATCCTATTGGTAAATAACAAATTTATTGATAGGACCTCTGTGTAAAGGTCAGATTTATTGATATGACCTTGTTGTAAAGGTCAGATTTATTTATATGACCTCTCTGTAAAGGTCATATTTATTTATATGACCTCTCTGTAAAGGTCAAATTTATTTATATGACCTCTCTGTAAAGGTCATATTTATTTATATGACCTCTCTGTAAAGGTCAGGTTTATTACTATGACCTCTCTGTAAAGGTCATATTTATTTATGTGACCTCTCTGTAAAGGTCAGATTTATTACTATGACCTCTCTGTAAAGGTCAGATTTATTTACGTGACCTCTCTGTAAAGGTGGATAATACAGAGCAAAGAAAAAAATTAAAGATGTGTTGTTGAGATGTTAGAAGTTAGAGAAATTTGGATGATGAGGTTTAAGTTACCTGTATATTTGAAAAAAGGGTAACAATCTGTTTCCTGATAAAATTTGATTAAAATTACTGAGAATTCTTAGACATCTGTCTTGTGATAGATAGCGTTTGATTGTCTAAGAAGTCTGTTTTATCTGGAAAGTAATAATTCAACTATTTGTTGTGAAGGTGCTATTCACTTAAATACATTTTATACAATTCTTTATCCCAGTATAGGAAAGGTAACGATTTTATACAATTCTTTATCCCAGTATAGGAAAGGTAACGATTTTATACAATTCTTTATCCCAGTATAGGAAAGGTAATGATTTTATACAATTCTTTAACCCAGTATAGGAAAGGTAACGATTTTATACAATTCTTTATCCCAGTATAGGAAAGGTAACGATTTTATACAATTCTTTATCCCAGTATAGGAAAGGTAACGATTTTATACAATTCTTTATCCCAGTATAGGAAAGGTAATGATTTTATACAATTCTTTATCCCAGTATAGGAAAGGTAACGATTTTATACAATTCTTTATCCCAGTATAGGAAAGGTAATGATTTTATACAATTCTTTATCCCAGTATAGGAAAGGTAACGATTTTATACAATTCTTTATCCCAGTATAGGAAAGGTAATGATTTTATACAATTCTATAACCCAGTATAGGAAAGGTAACGATTTTATACAATTCTTTATCCCAGTATAGGAAAGGTAACGATTTTATACAATTCTTTATCCCAGTATAGGAAAGGTAATGATTTTATACAATTCTTTATCCCAGTAAGGGAAAGGTAATGATTTTATACAATTCTTTAACCCAGTATAGGAAAGGTAACGATTTTATACATTTCTTTATCCCAGTATAGGAAAGGTAATGATTTTATACAATTCTTTAACCCAGTATAGGAAAGGTAACGATTTTATACAATTCTTTATCCCAATATAGGAAAGGTAACGATTTTATACAATTCTTTATCCCAATATAGGAAAGGTAACGATTTTATACAATTCTTTATCCCAGTATAGGAAAGGTAACGATTTTATACAATTCTTTAACCCAGTATAGGAAAGGTAACGATTTTATACAATTCTTTATCCCAGTATAGGAAAGGTAACGATTTTATACAATTCTTTATCCCAGTATAGGAAAGGTAACGATTTTATACAATTCTTTATCCCAGTATAGGAAAGGTAATGATTTTATACAATTCTTTAACCCAGTATAGGAAAGGTAACGATTTTATACAATTCTTATATTCTTTATCCCAGTATAGTAATGATTCTTTAAGTATAAGTTAACGATTTTATACAATTCTTTATCCCAGTATAGGAAAGGTCGATTTTATACAATTCTTTATCCCAGTATAGGAAAGGTAACGATTTTATACAATTCTTTAACCCAGTATAGGAAAGGTAACGATTTTATACAATTCTTTATCCCAGTATAGGAAAGGTAACGATTTTATACAATTCTTTATCCCAGTATAGGAAAGGTAACGATTTTATACAATTCTTTATCCCAGTATAGGAAAGGTAACGATTTTATACAATTCATTAACCCAGTATAGGAAAGGTAACGATTTTATACAATTCTTTATCCCAGTATAGGAAAGGTAACGATTTTATACAATTCTTTATCCCAGTATAGAAAAGGTAACGATTTTATACAATTCTTTAACCCAGTATAGGAAAGGTAACGATTTTATACAATTCTTTATCCCAGTATAGAAAAGGTAACGATTTTATACAATTCTTTAACCCAGTATAGGAAAGGTAACGATTTTATACAATTCTTTAACCCAGTATAGGAAAGGTAACGATTTTATACAATTCTTTAACCCAGTATAGGAAAGGTAACGATTTTATACAATTCTTTATCCCAGTATAGGAAAGGTAACGATTTTATACAATTCTTTATCCCAGTATAGGAAAGTTAACGATTTTATACAATTCTTTATCCCAGTATAGGAAAGGTAACAATTTTATACAATTCTTTATCCCAGTATAGGAAAGTTAACGATTTTATACAATTCTTTAACCCAGTATAGGAAAGGTAACGATTTTATACAATTCTTTATCTCAGTATAGGAAAGGTAACGATTTTATACAATTCTTTATCCCAGTATAGGAAAGGTAATGATTTTATACAATTCTTTATCCCAGTATAGGAAAGTTAACGATTTTATACAATTCTTTATCCCAGTATAGGAAAGGTAACGATTTTATACAATTCTTTATCCCAGTATAGGAAAGGTAACGATTTTATACAATTCTTTATCCCAGTATAGGAAAGGTAACGATTTTATACAATTCTTTAACCAAGTATAGGAAAGGTAACGATTTTATACAATTCTTTATCCCAGTATAGGAAAGGTAACGATTTTATACAATTCTT